CAGTTTAGCTTGAAGCATTTGCCGAAAAAACCGATCCCGATAGTGACAAAAATTGCGGGGAACTCTGCAAAAAACGCATCTTCGCACGGGCAGCCCGTGCGTTGGGCAATTACTTTTTTAGGAATCAAGGAAACTTAACAGGGACCGTATGCCGATCACCTTGGCTTCATCTTTGCCTTACTTCATTCGCTGCTGCTATCCTGAGGCCGTCGATGTTGGATCAGTGTGCTACTTATTAGTTTGCCCGTTAGACTCAATGCAGTGCTGGTCAACGGCTAACTGTCCACTCGCCCGGTATCCAAGATGCGCATCCAGAATAATGCAATTTGCTTTACTTGTGAAGTGAATTATGAAGCAACGACCTTGTGAAACCCATCTGGCAATAAAGCGGTGTGTTGATATCTTCTTCACCAATCTCAGCAACCATTTCCCAACGGCTATTTCGATTTCCTCGAGTATAAATCATGAATATCCAGTTATCTTTTGGAAAAATATTCGCACAGTGCTTGAAAGTAACTATAAACGGCCTATGGATGAGCACCTCCTCTTCGTTATCGTCACAAAGGCCTACCATCACTACCGCACTTAACACTGTATCACTTCCTGAAATTTTCTGGAATTAGTGTTTGCATTCGTTAAGCTAGACTTTTGCAGTTTCTCAGCCTCTCTACTGTCGTAGAAGTGTTAATGAAAAGTGAAACATGGGGCAACTGCATTTAATTTTTGGGTTATTTTAGCTTCCAGCCAGAATGCACAATACCAAAATTGCCCAGGCATCAGTTTGAGTATTTCATACTGGTGATATTACTGGAATGCTTCTACACGCCGGCCACAGCTATACCTGGCCTTACAATCTGGGCTGCATGCTTCCAGTTAGTACCCACCATCTGTTCGATGTATGTGCGCTTCCCCCTCAACAGCCATCCGAGCGGTCGTCTTCTCACGAGTACCACTCACTAATTCACAACGTTGACCGGCAGTCGCAAGGTGAGCGACGTCTCCTGCTCATCGAATTTCACTTTCTGGCGTGGACGCAGTGATACCTTGCACGTCATCCAGCGGAGTGTCTGATTGTTTGTATGGTCAGGAAGAAACACGCCAACCATCCTCCGCCTTATCGCTCTCATAAATATTACCTGATAATTTGGGTGTATCGCTGAGATCATCCGAGACGGCCAGGAATACCATATGGGCGTCCTGGAATGTACCTTCCGGTATCAGAAGGACAGCGCCAATCCGCCTGAGCTGAAAAAAAAACATGCTCACAATTTATTTGCTCGTAAATTTTATGGTGTGAGTGCGATAGCGCAGTGGCATTTACCGGCCTGCGTTTAAGGCACAGCCGGAACAGTTCAGATTTAAGTATCTTTTTAAGTTGTACAAGTCTACTATATTTTAAAATAAAATTTATATTTAAGGAGTGTTTTGAATGATATTCCCAATTTTTCCGTAAAAATAACACTAGGAGCTTAATAGGTATGGATTACGGGAGTTTGTAGCTGGGAATCTCAGAGCGACAATCTCTCTTATGTGACGATTTAGTCTTTTTTTGGCATGAGACTATCCGACCTAAGGTCATACTTTGTAATTTGTTAATTTAAATTTCTATCGCTGAACCTGAAATTCCAATAACAGCGAGTAGTTGGGATGAGGGAAGGTTCAGGCAAACTACTTATGGTCAGCTGTCCACTTTGTCTGGTGTGACCTTGATGTTTTTCTCGCTTACCGTCGTTCCGGTGACAAATGTAGCCTTTTTTAGCATTCCTTATATTTTTTTCTCGAACTTACGTAGTTATTGTGATTAATTAGCGAGAGCCTATGTTTTATACTGGAAACTCCACATATGTCGCATAAATTATCAGGATTGCGCGGTCTGAGGGTGTGGATTTATCGATGTTGCACACATAGATCAAGCACAGCTTTTCCTGATGCCTCTGTTCCAGCTCAGTTGCATCCTCATTTGTTGCCTCGATCACGTACTTTGGGGTTCCCTCACCTGGTCACTTCCATTACCGCGTGCTCTTATTATTCATACTGTAAAGATATTAAACGCAAATGCAGTAAAGTGGTACCAAAAGTTTTCCGCCCCTGCTGTCCACGTAAGCAGGCAGCATGGCCTGAGGCTGCTGCTGGCTAAGCTCGAAAGACCCGTATCGTTCATTACTATCGCCACCAACGCAGTCGTACAGCGTTGCATAATTTTCGTCCGAGGTTCGCGAATTTGTTCGCGCTATTGTCATCTTACCATTGGAGGAGTTCGATGATGACTCGGTTATCAGAGCTATTCGCGATCCTGAAAATTAGCAGTGTCCCGAGAGCATCATGCAGCTGACAGCTTCACTGCAATTTCGACTGAACTGTTTGTCACTCTCCGCCGCACTACCGATGACCATTCACAGCATGAATAAATACTCTTCCTATTAAAGATTTTTTTTTGTTGTTATAACAGCGCATTTAGCTTTTTTGTGCCCCATTTTAAATCGCTATCTTTATACTCCCTCATTTTCCTTCTGTGTTTATCCTAGGTGCTTTTTCGTTTGACTAATTTACTTTCTGGCAAATGTTACGATATACAAAGCAAAAAGGAAAAGTGTTCCGTTTTCTTCAAAAACACATGCGCTTTTTTTTATTAGTACCAGGACCGTCCGGATTATCAGTGTGAGTATCCCTAGTGGAATTACTGAAATGCTCTCACACGCCGGGCGTAGCTATACCAGATCGTTTGGTTCTGATCTACATACCTCCAGTTAGTACCCACCGCTTGTTCGATGTATATTCGCCATCTGTTCAGGGCTCGCGAATGGTCATTTACTTTCAAGTGCAACACACTAATATACGTGCATATTATCGAATGCACAAAATAAATTAATTGCTAGCGTGCCCAAAATGCTTGTTTATTGTTCCCTCACTCCTTAATAGGAAAATTTCTATATGTCCGTTGGTCATGGTGATACGTTGGATGTAGAAAACGAACGAACGAACCTGTGGCCTTCCTGCTGGATGAGTAGCCGCTGCTGTTTGCGGATCGGAGTGTTAGAGAGGGTGGCAGTATCAGATGATGATGAGTTGGCGAAGCAGTTGTTGTTAATGTATAAAATTCGCTAGCAGCTTTTGGCGTCGATTTCATGGAATCACAAACGTCCCCGAGTAAACGTTGCTGTTGGAGTAGAATAGTACGCACGTGTCCTGCAGCAAAACACTCAAAGCAATCGATGAATATAATATACCCAAAGGATGAGATCGCCAAGCGATACTGGCTGAGATTTCAACGCCTTGGATATATGGGATTGTTCTGGACACTGAAGACTTTGGGGTGTTACAGCACAGAAACCAAAACTGTGTTTATGAAAAGAATGGTATGATCCTGCGATGAACGTCAGCTATCCCCCTTTTCTGTTATCCTTAATCATCCTGCTTCTGCCTAAAACCTCAAAACACTCAGTTTTTTTCCTCACACGGCTATCTTCTTTATCCACTTATTCTACATTTCCTTATGTCGTAGTTTGAAACGCAATCTTTTCCAGCCCAGCTCGTCCTCCCTTCACTCTGACAGAGATAAAGTCCATCGCGAAACGTGTGACTATTTGATAAGGGTTTCGATTGCTGCGTCATCCAGCGGCTCGGCACCATGGACATCTGAGCACACGTTACCTGGATTTTGAATTTCTTGTGTCGATCTAGCTAGGAAAGTAAACAAAAAGAGGTGTGACTTATTAGCACGCTAGACAAATGTAATCCAGCATACATGGCAAGCTGGTCTGCGTTCCGCATTTTCGAGCCTGTTTCTCATTTAGTTTTATTTTCTTTCTTTTGTATTTTTTCTCTTCTGCTTAACATGAAGTTTTCTTATTTTAACTCTCAGAATCTGTAAGGGTCCAAAGAAGAATTTGCTAAGTACAGATCGGTTCCCGAAGCAAAATTTGAGGACGGAACATTCTATCCTAGTAATATTGAACCCTCTATGTTTACAGGTGTTTATTAGTCGTCTAGTCCAGTCCGTTCTACTATCTCACATCGGGACTATCCCGGCTTACCAAATGCTCATTGAACAAAAAGCAATCCGATTTTAGTTCTCCCCCAGAAGTGAAGTGATTTCTGGAATGAATCCGAAACACATGCTGCGAGCGAGTCCCCAGATGAGGCGCACTGCTTACGCTTGCTTCAGTGAACTTACCGCCATTTTCAGAGAAATAATAATCCTCCTTTTTGACTGTAGCAGTAGCAGAACACCGTCTTCGGCAGCGACACAGAAGCGTGGAGACCAGGATGAGCACGATGAGAAGCAGCACCAGAGCACTGAATAATCCAGCATACATGGCAAGCTGTGTCTCCAAATTATACCCGATATAAGTTGGAGTTGGCCGCAGTGCCGTGCTTGTGCAGTATCCATCACCTTGTGTACAGTTTTTGGTTTCCACATCACGGCCAATACATGTACGACCACCGTTTGTTGGTCGCGGTGAATTACAGGATCGAGTGCGAACTTTTTGGCAGCTCTCATTGCACTGTGACCACGATGACCATTCTGACCTGAAGATAGATATCTGTGTAATGATATGACATCTGTATGTACAATAAGCAATTTTTCGAAATGAAACGGCGAAGTCGGGCGCGGGAGAGTTTTTCGTAAATTCCGTTAAAAGTTAGCACTTGCGGTGATTCTGAACGAAGTTCTTTTTTTTTGAAAAAAATGCTATTTCTGATAATTAATTAGAACAGCGAATTAAAAATCACGAGTATTGCTGCGGACATAAGATTAGTGAAAGTGAATAAAACAAATGTAAAAAAGAGACACGGGAGGGATATTAGAGGAGACGAACCAATGTCCATCGAGATGACAGTCCAGCGAACACTGCTCGGTCTGCTCGGCGTCGCCCAAACAATCCGCTCCGCCGTTCATTGGTGCCGGATTATTACACGTCCGCCTGCGCACCAGCTTTGGCCAGATTTCATGAAGTCTGGAGGGTGCAGCAGCGCTAGAAGAAGGACGCCTTGCCAGCTGTTGTTTCAACTGCGCGCAATCAACCTTGCAGTTGCCAGTCCACGCTGACCATTCGGCCCATTGACCATTTACTGAAATCAAGCACTATCAAAGGAAAACACAGGAAAGGCTACCAGTGCGATCAAAGGGCCTGTTTGGGTATCACTGTGAAACTGTATGGATGGGAGAGACTCTATGCAGAAGAAGGTGGTGGAGCTGCCAGTTGCATCAGTGGCGAGAAGAAACGTGATGCTGAAGCAGTAGCTGATTAAAGTGTCAAAATAAACTATCCCTTGAACTGGCACGAAAAGGTTGGCAAAACAAGCACTGCCAGACGACCTTATTCTGGATTACTTTTAGTTTTCGACCATTTATGCCTTACGCGAGGTTTTGCTGATTTTGCGTGAAAATCCTGGACCACTCTTCTGGAGTGCAATGTCCGCCGTACTAGAATCCACAACAATAAGAAAATTTAAGGCTGACCGTAAACAACAATTTGAGCAGGATTAGTGGACCGCCTGTTGGCTGCATTACGTGCCTCGCACGTGTAGTTCCCAGAATCGGATAGGCGCGCAGCGGAAATGATCAATGAACCGTCATTGGCAATGATCATATTCGGATCCGACTGCCGCTCAATTTCGTTCCCGTCTTTCATCCAGAACACCTAAATGCGCAGGAAATTCAGTCCCTTGCAAAATTATGAATTCACAATGTCCCTGTAAAACTTTTTTTTCGTTTATGATAAGTTCATAGTGCACTTATGAAAAATTTGCAGAATTAAAAAAGAAATCACCAAGGTAAAGATTTCTTCATGTGGTCTAGGACGATAGAAATGTATAATTATCCTCCTACCTCGACCTCTGGCACGCCATCTGGTGGTGAGCAGTGCATATGTACAGTGCCTCCTTCCGGAACATTCTCCGAAGTCGGCGTTTGATAAAAATGCTTCCGAATATCTAAATTATCTCAGTTAAGTGCAAAAATTTCTCAAAATTTAACTTTCGACCTAGCTTTAAATTTGTTTTTTGAAAAAGAAGCCTTTTTTCAAAACTTCAGACTTTTTTCAAATTGAACTTTAGATTTTTTACAGAATCTCCCTTGTCATCATTATGCATAATCTGGGAAAAAGTGATAATTTTTTTCGACGTGAATGGGGAAGGGGAACTTGTTCACAGCAAACTCGAGTGTGCCCTCCTGGAATGCTCGAGAATCGTGCATTACTGAAATTATGTGCACTGTTCCAAGAAGCCAGATTTGTACACATGTTTGTGCAGCATAATGCTATTTCTATCGATTCATGTATCGTTCCTAAATAGTTGAAGGCAATTAACTGGTATTGGCTGACTGTTGGTGAATCTCAGCGAATTCTGGATGATACTGGATGCAAGGCGGCAGTCTTCTACTGCCTTGTCCCTCTTTAACTGCTTATGAGTTGGGATGAGTCATTGAAGAGAGTGGTCTTGGACAATTTATGCTTCCAAAAGCAGCAAGCGTGTTTAGATCGAACGAGCTGATTGCCCAATTCGGCATTTAGTGCTCGCTAGCTGCTGCCACTCCTCTATCGTCATACGGTAGTAGCAGCAGTAGTAGTATGAGCAGAAAGAATTAGTTCGATTACTCTCACAAATTTCTTAATTCAAATTTCTGCACATAAATAGCTTAACAAATGGCATCCACTTGTGAGTGGTACACCACAAGAAAGTAAACGATCACTCGGAAATGAGTAATAAACTGGAAGATATACGCCGTCTTGAAGAAGGAGAGCTATTTTTTTAAACTGCTTGTGATACTAGCGCGTCTCGTGTGTGCAAAATCCAAAATGAAAAAAAAAAATTGAGTGATTAACGCTAACTGCAGGAACGCGAAATGTAGCAAAAAGAAGCATTAAATTCAGTGAAAATAAGGAATTAGGATTGGTGGTAAATTGCCCAAATGCGCTAAAATGTGAAGGCAATTTGGTCAAAATCGCTACAGTTAGAACTTTAACGCTATCTGTCAACAAACTAGAAGGGCAGAGGGCAGTATCCGTGGGGCATTCATTCTTCCACCGGAAGAATCTTTCGGGAATTTTTAGAGTTGAAAACCACTAGCATCTAATAAAGCCATGAAAAAAACGGATGAAACTAAGTTAACTGGATATTCTTTCATGTTATGCATAAGCACTTTACAGAACATGAGGAAATTTCGAGATGGTACTTCGGAATGGTACTCTGGCTGCCTCAACTGTGGGAATACGTCAAACCCCACGTACTCGTACGTGAAAGGTAACGCGAAAGTTTTCCTTTTACGTGCTCCTGCCCAAAGGCGGTTCTGGATCATGACCAGGTTGCAGTATCAGTTTACTGACTGCTCAGCAAACAAACGGCCCTCTTGAGTGCTTGACCCGTGCGCTAATACAGCAGTATGCGTATGCTGTAACAACAGCCATGTTCTAATTTTTGGCCAGAGATACTATTTGTTTACAATCCGCGTATACATTTCGCTGAGTATCATTGCAGGTTTACTAGGGATTTGCGTCGTCATCAGTTTGTTCGCCACAAAAGTACCCGAAAAAGGAAATTATCAGCCACTAGAGAGCGAATGATCGCTACAAATGAAAAACACAGTGCCACCTGAGTCCCATTTTTATGCGTTTTTTGCAGCAATGCAATGCGAAAAACGCATATTGACGAGAGGCTGTCTGTGTGTCTGTGCGTCTGTGTGTCTGTGTGTGCGCCTGTCACGCACTTTCATCTCAGGACCTATAAAAGCTGCGG